TCCCTTCCTAAACTCCTTGCTACCATAAGGTGCGAATTATGGCATTTATCTTTACCAAGAACTTCTTAGCGAGAAAGGTGTTCACCATGTGATATATCTGTTACACCTAAAAATATGAGACTTTCGTCCAACTCCCATCGTGTGCGCGCTCGCCCCTGATCGAGTCTCCGAGCCCTTTGTGTGTGCGTCCGTCTACGAGTCTCCGAGCCTGATACGCAACTGCGATCCATCACACTGCCCAACAATTTTTAATCGCAAAACACATACATGGCTCCCATTCCCGATCCCTCAGCGCTCCTTCGCCGGCTCCTCCCTCCTCTTCGGCTTCTCGCATGCTCGGGGAATCACGGCTTAAGCAGCATCGAGAAGGATGAAGGCAGTTGTGGTGCAAGGGGGATATCGAGCACGCGGCAGCAGATGGACTTCCAATCCTACCAAGGACGATTGATGGGAAGCGGCGGCCCGGCGCCATCATGTCGTCTCGCCCATCGACGGCGACGCCTGCTCCCTCATCTGCGCGTACTGGAATTTGACAACACCATGCGCCATCGCTTATTCCTCGATGTCCGCACCACGCTGGGCGACGCGGCCCCCGCACGCTGTGGGGCTCACCGCCACGTTGGCCTTGGAGCTCAAATTCCACGGCCTATAAACTCTCTGTTGGTCAAGCAGCCTATCTGCGCGTGGTGGTCGGAAAGGAGCAGCTGTACAGACTGATTGAGGTGCAGGAGATATGGACCTCAAATATAATACGTAGTGTACTGGTTGGAAAGGAGCAGCTGTACAGACTGAATTTCCATGTGTCATTAATCTTGCAAGTACATGAGAAAAGCTAAGTCCTGTGATGTGTCTTGGTGCAGGATATTTTAACTATCTTAACTGATCTGATTGAGTTTTTTTTGAAAAATAAGTGATCTGATTGAGATCAACACCACATAGTGCAAGCTTTTGGGTTTTCAACATAGGCACCAACAAGGGTCAGCAGTAGACTGCCTACGAGGTGGACACTGAATGCCACTAAATCAATTTCCCGCCTCATGTAATTATGTAACTACAGTAACTCCACTTGTCATGAGTCGTAACCAGAAAATAGTTCTATAATTATCTTTATGTTCTTTACTTTTCATTTCAATGCATCTTTGCAATCAACTCTCTCAAAAATTGTAAAGGAATTTCTATTAGCCAATCGTCAATGAATATATATAGTGTAACGCCACTTTAGAAATTGTAAAAAGAATCGACATGCAAAGCTACACTTTGTTTTTTTCTTGCAGAATGACCATATATAATACTCCTGCTTTGATACATCGACTAGTTCATCACGTGCGCCCTCGCGCGCGCCGGCAAGGTAGGAAATGAGATAAAGGGGATTTTTTGGCACCCGATTCACTGCATAGATTGAATGGGGAGCGGAGAAATCCAACCATGCAGCCGACGGATCCGGCCATCCGTCACCAGAGCCGGCAAGGGAAGGGGAGGGAAGCAAAAGAGAGAGAGAGAGCGCGCACCTTAATGTGTACAGCGGTCGGGCAGCGGTCGTTTCGCGGCCACCTCTCCCGTGGCCCGCGCCCACAGTGTGCAGCTAGCGGCGGTGGCGACCAGCGAACCTGCTTTCATGCGCTGGCCTTCGCACCCACCCCCGGCCAAGGGCATGGCCGCCGAGCATAGGCAGCTAGGGTTTGGTCGAGCGCACGCGGAGCGGTGGGAAGGGGCAACGCGGGGGAAGCAGCGGCGGCGCAGGTAGCTAGGGTTTGGTGGAGCACACGCGGAGCGGCGGGAAGGGGCAGCGTGGGGGAAGCAGCGGGGGCGGCTACCGGCATGGGCCTGTCGTGCCGCTCCATGGCCGAGGACGTCCACCGCCGTCAGGGGCCCACCGTCGCCGGGGCCCACCGCGGGCGCGCGCAGCAGGCCGGGGACGCCATCGCCCGCCGCCCTTGGCGTGGCGCAGCGAGAAGGCGAACTCGCCGGACGAAGGTTGCGTCAAGGTGGCGACCACGGCGGCGTCCACTGCTGGAAGCGGTGGGGGCAGCTCACGGACATGTGCCACCGTCGGCCGGGCGCGACCGCCATCGGTGGAGCCCATGTGTTGGATCTAGTGGAGATGGGAGGCCTCGCATTTGGATCTTTGCTCGCCGCCGCAGATCCACCGCCTCTGTTGCCGGCGCGAGCTCCACGCCGTGCTCCAGCTTCAGATCCGCCCCGAGAGGGGCCCCATGAGCGCCCGCTTCAGATCCACCGCCGAGGTTGCCGACGTGACCTCCCCGTCGTCATTCACGCCCACCATGGAGGTCCCTCCGCCGCCAGAGCCCTCCGCCGCGTCAGGGCCTCCGCTGGCTGCTCGCGCACTGTGGGGACGACGGCGACGGAGGGGCCAAACGCTAGGATGCGCGACCCGCTACCTTGCGTCGCGAGGAGGAAGCGGCGTGGTGGAGGGCGGAGGAGGAGGAGGAGGGTGGCCGCCGCCGCGCGGAGGGCTGGCCACCGCCGAGGTCGCCCCGCGCCGTCGCCTCGGTCGCGTCGCGACTCGGGAGCAAGGGAGGGAGCGTACAGGAGAGAGAGAGAGAGGAGGGATGAGAGGTTTCTAAAGGAGAATCAGGAACTGGAGTATATATTTGCTCCACCGGATTCGCACGAGAAGCCGCGGAAGCTAGCAAAATCAACCTAGAGCGACGAGGAGGCAGAAGAAGCAGATTCTAAAGGAAGCGGCTACAAGCAGTCTGGGCCACACGATGGCGGATCCGACGGCTAGGAACAATTGGGGTGACGTGGATGCTGTGAGAGGCGGCCAAAGTAACTTGCTTTGATATATTAGATGTGTTATTTGTTGATTTTTTGATACATTGAATATTTCTAATAGAAAAAACTCATAGTGATTAAAACAAATGATTTCAGACCATGTTCTCAAATAATGAAAATATGCTTATTATTTATACAACTTATATTTTTAAAAATTTTCCCATTCTACCAAGGTGCTATAACTAAACATTGCAACATAACAACATAACCCTCTCTGACCATGATACACATTCAGTTTATTCTTTTTTTAACATACTACAGTCCTTTTGGGAATTAGTTGATATAAATAACTAAAGAGAAAAAAATAGGACCTTCATGGATTTTTAAATAGTTTATAGGGTTCCCAATGCAAAATTGTTTATTATTTTTTTTATTATTTTCTGATTTATGAAAATGATGAAATCAGTTTCTATGTAATTAGATTTGTAGATTTCTTAATATGTTAGTCTAAGCGTCACTGTAGGCGTAGATGAAAATTTGTAACCCGGTGCAACACGCAGGAACCGATAAACAGATAATGGTTAGTGTGTGAGTGTATATGTGATTATCACCCAATTAATGGATCGATTAATTAATGGATCTGGCTGATGGTTCTTTTGCTTAGCTACCTGTGATGTAATACTACTGCAATGTAGAGTGTGGATCTGCTTCATTCCTCACTGTTTGGCTTGCCTGATCACGAATCACTGCTATGATCTACAACGGTCTATGTATTCATGCTGATTTAGTGCTGCTTTTTGTCTGGGTCATACCATACTTTTCTTAGTATTGGAATTTGGAAAATTCATGGGCCCACTGTAGTAGGACTTATAATGTTGCCTCTTACTCCCTCTGTCCCTATATGTAAGTCGTTTTTGCTCTTAACCATATGCAGCAATAGTTATCTGAACCTGGCCATACTTTGAGTCTAGGTGCATTGTTGATTGAGTGAATCTAGACATATACTTTTGCTCCCACAACGATAGAGAAGGGGGACAGAGGGAGTATGTTGATTGCCACTCTTTCAATTTCATGTAATGGTATTGTCCAAAACATTTTCTTACATGTGAAGTCACTTGCTCACTTGTGAAGATAGCGATTTCGGCAAGCGCTGGACAAGCTCATCAAGCCTCGCGTCATCAAGACAACCTCGCGACATGGTGGTCCCCGATCGGGTAAACTGTTCTTTGTGGCCTTGGCAGCGTGAGGCGTGTAGTTCTAAAAATATATGTCCGACATGGTGGTCCATATATCTAGTGAGAATAAAAAAATAGGTTTGTTTGTTTTGGATCCATGCCATTATAATTCGCAAGTTAAGCCATTACAAGTTATTAGAAGATCTGTGAAAATTTGTGCTCTAAGGATGGAGATAGATAGAATTATAATAGCAGATGTTTGAATAGATATCTAATGACGAATAAAAAAAAATATAATAGTATGATTTTTTTTGGATAAGTTGCAATTTATAGAGTCACAAAATGTGCCATAGAGTTAAGGCCATTATAATTTCTATATTTAAAGATCGAATGTGATTTTCTTGTTTGTGCTCTAGAGGATGGAGAGTAGATAGAACTTTTAATTTGAAATATCAATTCAAAATTCGATTTAAACCGAATTTGAATAGATGAATTATAATTCGTTTTTCTCTTGGTGGCTAGTTGCCCTCTATTTTAAAACTTATTAAAAATATAATAGTATAGATAAAAATTTGTTTTATTTATAGATAAGTTGAACAATTTGACCGAGAGTCATAAAATGTGCCATAGAGCACAGAACCCATGTCACAGATCTCCGAATATAAAAGTAGAAAACCGGGAACCCATAACAGATCTCCGAATGGCCAACCGGGAAAAGGCTCGCTCACATCCCTGTGTGTCCGCGCGGGCTATCCGAGCCATTCATCTCCTCTCTAGCATCAATCTTGATGTATTTTTTCTCTTTCTTTTTCCCCTCTCTCTTAGCCAACACGAAGCCACCGCGCAATCAAAAAAAAAAAAAACACACGAAGCCACCGCCGCCGCCGCCCAGCCATCTCTTCGTGATCCCCGGCCGACGCCGCCGCTCCCCACCCCGGCACCGCCCCCACCCCATCACCTGCCGGTCCGGCTGGCGGCCGCCCCCACCCCGACACCTGCAGCCCCGGCCGGCTTCGCCCTGCACCCCGTCAATCCGCTGGCTAGCTAGGGCTTCCTGATCATCATTGGCCTCCGCAGCTTCCCGCCACCATGGGGGTCGACAGTGACGACGAGGATCTCGTAGTCTATGGGACGCCCATCGAGCGAGAGGAGGACACCTCCGCCCGCAAGCGCCGTGCCGTCGCCGAGGCTGGTCAACTCCGCGCCCTCCCTGCCTGGAAGCAGGAGGTCTTTCTCTCACCTCCCTCTTTCCTCTCCTCCCTCTCCCAGTCTCCCTATTGTTGTGGTAGGAAAGGGATATGTGTCCTGCTGCGGTGTTGGTAGTGATGGATTCGAGCTACTGGGACTTGCAATTTCGTGATTAGCAATGCAACAGATATTGCGTTTTTTTTAATGTTTGCGGTTTGCCGAGCAATTGCGATGCGATTTAGTTGTGATCAAGAGGGATACTGCACATACTCTTCCAGTTGGGGTTTGCTCACATGCCTGCTGCTGTCGTCAGCTACTTGATGCCATGCTTCTGTTTAGCTTTGGTGGCTCATATTATAAACAGAGCTGTGTTAATTTTCTGCTCGTACCATTGGGGTTGGGGTGAAAGCTAGCTCGAAACTTTTAGGGCAATCAGTTGCTCTTTATGGCCTGTTTTGTTAGTTGGGCAGTATGTCAACTAGGAAAATGCAGAAGCAGAATAATGGTTTAAATTGTGAATTATATCTGTCTACTCCCTTTGTTCCAAATTATAAGTTGTTTTGGCTTTTCTAACGGCTTATAATTTGGAATGGGCGGAGTACTTCTCAAAGGAGATGCTTAATTCCATCATCCTGCAGAATACTGTTAATCCTGTTGTTTATCCTTGTGTGCGCTTGTTAGTCAAACCATAGTTCAGTAACTAAGACCTTGATTGTGGGTTCTGCTGATCTCATAATGGAATGGGTTGTGGAAATTCATGTAGTTCAAATGTGATTTTTACTCAACTATTCCTCTATTAGTTGCTAGGTTCCTTATAACGTGGATGCTGTTTATCTGTTTGGACTTTGGATAGTGCAATGTAAACTCACAAAAATATAAATTTGTGATTTTGTAGCCATTGTGATCTTGTATTTGTATTAACAAATCTGCAGAGTAACATCAGTGGTTGATGCTGCATGTTTGCAGAGAATATGAGAATTCATTACATCATACCATTTATTTTTTACTACTAAGTTATAGTATGGATTGAATTGTTATCTTTCGTGAGTTACTTGTCTTCGTACTTGTTGAGCTTGTGCATTGTAGATTTCAACTGAAGTCATGTGGCATTTGATTTACTTCAAGTTTTATTGTTGTTTTCATGTGGCGTATAGGTGAGGGATGAAGAAGGAAGAAGAAGATTTCATGGCGCATTTACTGGTGGATTCTCTGCTGGCTTTTACAATACTGTTGGCTCAAAAGAGGGTATGTTCCATTGAATTTTTAATAATTATTATACTACCTCCATCTAGAAAAGGATTTAATTCTAGCTTTATCCCTTGCCAAACTTTCTAAAGTTTGACCAAATTTATAGAAAAAAGTATCAATATTTATAACATGAAATGGGTATACTATGAAAATATATCTCACGACGAATCTAATGACACTTATTTGGTATCATAACTTTGATTTTTTTTTTGTATAAACTTGGTTAAACTTAAAATGTTTTGACTTGGTACTATACTATAATTGCATTCTTTTCTGTACAGAGGGAGTAGTATGCATGAAAGTAGCATTGAGGAAACACATTTTATAATATAGGCACTATGATTTTCCTCAGGGTGGACACCACAGACATTTACATCATCACGAAAGAATAGAGCTGAGCTGACAAAGCAAAGCTTATACAATTTTCTTGATGAGGAGGATATAAAGGTACATAATGTTCTTTAACCTTGCAAATAAAATTTTGAAAAGCTACCCAATTGCTCAGATAGTATGAAAATTTGTTCTTTCTGCAATAATTGTTCATACTTTCCCTTTTAACTTGGTTAAAGAATGGCTTTTAGGCAGACATGTTGCCAGAGTCACCTGACTGGTTTGCAGGTCCAGGCTTGTAAATATGTATCATTATCGTAGGGCATGTTGATCTGATCAGATTCAGCTTTTCTTTTTGACATCAGATTCAACTTTTAAGGCTGGTCTAATTTCTGCTGTTTGGAGGCGCAAATAGTCTGATTGAAGTTATTTCATAGCATGTATTCATTCTTGAAAAAATCGAGTTCATTTGACGGTGTGGGTACTATTTACAGGATATGGGTGGTAATGCTTTGGAGACATCTCAGCAGTACGATACCTTTGGTTTTACAGCTGCAGAGTATGCTCGAAAACAGGCATCCAAGGAACAAAAGGAGAGGTTAGCGTCTTATCATCCTGTTCTACCAGTTTAATAAATGAATGCACTTATTGAACTTAGCTTATCTGTTGCCCATCAAAGCACTCTTCAGTCATCTCTCTGCACATTTTTCTGCTATTTATTGTGGTTCCATTCAACCAAGCTGTTTTGGTCAAACCTTAAGCCCCAGCAGTTGGTGGGAGTCTCATGCGGCCATATCGCTGAGTTGGGTGGAGTGAAAATGAACAAAAATGATCCATGGAGAGGAAGAGACAAAAACAAATGGTTCCTATGGGCCTCTTTATGGATTTTTCTCAAATTTAGTTGCCTATTTGAGCCCTTTAGTTTCCTACTTTTTCATTATTTATCTATTTGTATTCTTATTATTACATCTATGCCGTTGTATTTGAATGCCACCAACTTGTGTATGAGTGCATCCAAATTGAACTACCTTTTGCTGATATATGTCTTTTCATTTTTACATCTCCTTGCAGACCATCTGCTATACCTGGTCCCATACCTGATGAATTGGTGGTCCCCACCACAAATTCAATTGGTATTATTTGTTCTCATGTTTTCTCAATAACATTTGAGTTGATGTATGTACTTTCATTGAATTTTATATCATTACCATGCTTGAACAGGTGTGACATTGTTAATGAAAATGGGTTGGCGCCAAGGACGCTCTATCAGGGACTCACATGCTGATTCCTTATATGGTATGCTTTGTTTTCAATGTTTTTGTTTGTTTGGTAAGTTCAGCCATTGTCTGTCGAAGTGTGGCCCTTCATTTGGTCAGAACTCTTGAATGCTACAGCCAATGCCTTGTAATAGCAGCTTCTGGCCTCGCTAATTATCATTAGTTTGAAAACATTATTCTGCTCAAAAGTTTCGTTGCGATTCTCAAATATGACATTTCTTCCTGATCATTTGGAGTTGTATGTCTCCTAAACTGAAAAAATGAAAAAAAAAAAATCTGCATGCAGAATCACGCAGGAACGCTAGAAAAGCTTTTCTTGCTCTCTCTGGTGCCAAGGATGATGAGGATCAAGATCAAAGTGCCGAAAACCCTAGCTTAGATAAAGCTGTTGTGGGGTCGGTCGAGGAAATACCTGTATCTGGAAATACCCCTGTAAGCAGAATGAGTGTTTTTTGCTTCATTGCATGGGCATATTTCCTTGTTATTCACCTCGTTACAGGGCTGTATTTTCTTGTTTGGTTCTTTATAACATCTGTTCTTCTAATGTCTTATTATTTTTTTTCACTTTTTTGTGATTCTTTCAGATATAAAAATATCATGTGGGGCATTTGTTTTCCCAACTTAAACTAGCTAATCACAATATTCGTCCTTTTGCACTTGTACTCTTATCGGTTTCATAAGCTGTCTTGGACTGTGTTGCAGTGAAATCTTTTTTAAATTTGACCTCTGAATGTATGCTAGACATTTTATTGGCCTCTTGAATGTTGTCATATTGTTATTTAAATATATAAGTAATATTCTTTCAGGTCTTAATTTTTTTTGGGAGTAACAAGCTTATCACAAATTTTCCTCCATTATACATCATACTTGTTGTATTTTATGCTATCTAGACAGCAAAGCTTCAAACTTGGCCTCCAATGGATGCTAGGTTTTTATGATTGATCACTTAAAGCTATGTCCTCAATTTATAATTACTTTCATAATATTGTTTCACAGAATGTGCTTTTCTCTTTTGCTCTACAATTCATTTTCAAAAAGAAGATCAGTGGTCAAAGTCTCATTACCTTCATTTATAAGGGAATGTACCCATAGTATGATAGTATCCAAGATGTCCAAAATGTGTGCATACATATACTTATTTATTTATTTTGTGTTCATGGTCGCATCATGTGTTAGAAATACACATGAAGAAAACATCTGCTGAAAGTATTACAATCCATGAATATTTAGGTCTACGTGCTTCATCCAAAGCAGGATTTTCATGGATTAGGTTATGATCCATTCAAGCATGCTCCTGAGTTTAGAGGTATCATGTTCAGATAATATACTCTTATTAGCATTATTCTGTGTCTGTCACACCTGATTCCTTTTATAGACAGGAAAACATTGCAGAAGTCAAGAGAGAGGGACCACAAACGAAATGATGTTTCAATGAGGGGAAATCTTATGATTTCTAATTGTAAGATATAATGATTGTCTCCTGTTATTCTATTATATTGATGTTGAGAGTTGATTAATGATTAGTGTAGCCTCAGCTTTGAATTAACTTAGCTAGTTGTTCAATCATCAGCAGGACATTATGCTCCTGGTTTTGGGATTGGAGCTCTTGAAGAGCTTGATGTTGAAGATGAAGATATTTATGCATCAGGTAATTGAGTTATCTTCTTATCAACCTTGGTACTGGTGATGTTTATACCAGGGATTCATAATCAATCATATGATGTTTTTCTGTTTAAACCACTCCTTTATGGAATTCAGTTCTGGCCATGTGATCAATCATATGATACTTAACTAGGGTTCGTTCACACATTTTTTCCCAGGATCTTGATATTTCATATTTGTTTTCTGATTGAAGTCTTTATAAATGCATATTCATGGTTAATATACATTGGAGACTTGTTCTTTCATTGTGTAGTCATGCTATATTTTCAGGTTGATATATTAACCCTTTATACTTATAAGTTGGCCCTTTGTACTAACATTTTTTGTATTTAGGTTTTGCTTATGAACAAACTGAAGTTGATATTGAGCCTTCAAAAGCAGCCAGTGACAGTAATTACAAACTTGATGACAGAAAAAGAGGTTTCTACCTGAGCTTTAAGATTGCCTCAAATTCTGAGTACAAACTTGAACGGTAATGCTTCCTCTGATTCATACTTTTCATCTTGATGGAGCAGTGTGAACTAGCTTCAGAAGTCTGGGTTTTGTTTTTAAATTCTACCTTCTTTGTGTTACCCTTTCAAAGCTTTTAGCTTACCTAATCATTTAACTGTATTGATGCCAAATTTCATTCTTGTCAGTTTAACTAATGGAATATATATGTGAAATTATACTCCCTCCATTTATTTTTATAAGGCATGTTTGCATTTCAAGATTCAAACATTGTAATCGTTGACCTCCAACTACTCTAGCAATATAGTTGCATTCTTATTTGAATTTTTTTCTCGAACACGTGGGAGAGCTGTGTATTGTTGTATTAAAGAAGAAGAGAAAGGGTAAGAGAAGCCTTACAAACACACATCACAACAAAAAAATCGAGTTTACATGCACGTCTTTGATCATGTTTGAAATTATTTTCCAGTGATTATGATTTTGTTTGCTATGAACAATAGAAGCAAAATTAGTATCAGATTATTTTGGCAACCACACAAAACGCCAAACCATACGCCATAATTTCTATGAAAATTAATTTATCATTGCTGTCGTTGTTGCCATCACCATCATCATGGGGTGTATATTTGGAAATACAAAAAAACATTATGGTCATCATCATTAAAGTCACCATGTTTCCGGGTTGATGGGTTTGAGGAACAGAGACATGGGACGCGGAACGTCACCTTTTGGAAACATGGTACAAGGTGTAGGGACGGGGGGTTAAACATCTTTGGGATGCTGATTCAGAGAGATGGAAAGTGAACCAAATATTTTTGTAACATAGGCAGCAATACATCTATTAGAAAATATAGCATGTTTATGCTAAAAAAAGAAGAGAAAAATGTGGACGACACCTGCACCTGCCTATTGTGAATGTCCCCTGATTCAGTAGAAGTGGTGCTTGGTGGCAAATAGCCAAATATGTAGCACTGAAACTGAGCTTGCCAATAAATCCGATTAGTTAGAAGGGGTGATTTTGAAAGGGCAGTGATATAGTTGAACAGTTCCATGGGCGCTAATGTGCAAGTCTCTCCTATGCATGCCATACCCTCCACCCAGAGTCATAACTGGCACACATACGAAGAATCAAACTTTATAAGTTTTGACCAACAATTAGAGTAACTATATAAAGGTCTATTGATAAAAAAATTGTACCACTTTGAATCTCAATACATATGATACTATGGTCACCATTTACTATTTTGCATCAGTATAATACAGCAGAAATTTGTGATCAAATATAACTCAGAAGACTGTTGTAGGTCAATTCACGTAAATTTGGGTGGAATATTTAAATCGTTACTGCCAAAGATTGATTTATTCAATTTTGTATTGGCTGTATATTTAAATACTTTAGTACTCTGGAAATTGAATGGCATTGTTGCTTTTATCAGATTCCTTCCTCCTGAGATCCCTGATGATTTTGATGCTCAACACAAATTTCCAACTCCAGTTCAATCTGCAGAGAAGTTTTCTGACTCAGCTCCTCTTGAGGTTCCTCCTCCAGAAGACACTAGCTTGACACTATTGATTGACGGCTGTGCAGCTATGGTTGCACGTTGTGGGAAACATATTGAAGATTTCTACAAGGAGAAAAGTAAGACAAACCCGCAGTTCCTTTTCCTTAGTGGAGGAGATGGCTGTGACTATTATATGAGAAAGTTATGGGAGCATCAGCAAAAACATATTGGTCAGCAAAGGCATGATTCTGCAAAATCAAAGACTTCTTTTGACAAGTTGACGGCAGAGAATCGTGGGAAAATTCTTGGTGAAAGGCCCCTTGATAGAACTACTAAACTACATAGCCCATCTCTTTCTGCGAAGGAAGCTGTTCAACTGCAATCTAATCTTATTGACACATTTGTCAAGCCAATATCCATTGTAAGTTATTTCTATTGCATTGGGCTGTTGTTAATATCACATTGGTTATGTCAATGGCTCATTCTCGGTCTGGAAATGGTTTTTTCTTGCTTGCAAATAGGATGGCCTACCAGAGTCTGAGAAGCCTTTTAGCAATGATCCTGCCAAACAAGTTAGGTTTGAGCAATTTCTTAGAGATAAATATAAGGGAGGTCTTCGTGCTGCAAATGTTACACCTACAAGTACTATGTCAGAAGCTGATCGCGCTCGAGAAAGGCTTGATTTTGAGACTGCTGCAGAGGCAATTGAAAAGGGCAAGGGAAAAAAGGTTATTGATCCTTCGTCATTGTTCTCTTTGCCTGGAATGAATGAGCAACGTTTTGTAGTGGCAACTCAACCAGAGGTAGATGAGGTGACTTTGGTCATTATTATTATTATGTTAAGTCTACTTCCAAATGTTGACTCCTGGAAAATTTATAAAGAGCTCTGTAGTGATTCAAGATGAGAAGCCCATCTATCCACAAAGGGAACAGTTTGAATGGCGGCCTTCACCAATACTGTGCAAACGTTTTGATATTGTTGACCCTTTCATGGGGAAGGTAAATTGAAATATGAGTTTTTTATAGCTGCCATTACTTCGATACTTCTGATAGTTGTGTGCATATGGGTTACATATACTTGCATTACTTAGGTAGATGCATTTTTCTTGATTTATATTTGTGAGAACAGAAGCGTCGCTTGATGTTATGCTTCTTCCCACCTGGTCATGCCTGAGAATAGCCATTTCCTTAGCTAAAAATAATAATAATGATAATGTTAATGTTAAGCCTCTAATTAGAAGAAGACATGGATCTATCTTTTTAGTAGACATTTATATACTACAAATACAATATGTGTATTTGTATGCTGTTTCTACTGTATTCTTTCACTTATGGACTGCTTCAAACTTTAATACATTAATTTTTGCTTTAATTTAAAGCGTATAGCTTCAAGTGGAATTGCATTTTAAATTAGCACTCACATGTGAATCTGATCATCCTTCACACATTTGCAGCCAATGCCTGTTCGAAGACCAAGGAGCAAGATGGAGAACCTTATCTTTATGACAGAATCCAATAAAGGAACAAAGGATGAAGTGGAGAGCTCGAGTAGGAGTTCGCAGCATGCTTCTATGGAAGCGGTAGCAGAGATGTTGAATCACATGGAGCTACTAATGACCCTAACTTTGAGCCCAGCAGCTTGCAGAGACCTGTTGATCTTTACAAGGTAAGCATATGTCCCGTATTTGGTTGTTCTTATCGAAACATGTCTTAGAAGTCAACTGAGATCAAACTAATTGACAAGTTCGGATGCACATTGGGAAATATGTGATGTGTCTCTAAGCTTAAGGATAAGGATCATTGACCCTGAAAAAAAATCTTATGTTTGGAGGAGCTTAGGCTTCTTTGAATAGGGGCTTAATGTCTTCATCTGCTTATCGTTTATTAGAAAATGATTATAATATGTTTTAGTATTGACAAGTTCAGTTATTGTGGATGCAGGCTATCTTTTCTGATGACTCAGATGATGATGTGGATGAAATTCTTAGTAATCAACCTGTGGATCCTGTGAAGACAAGTGAAGGTGCCAACATGGCTCTCAATCGTCTTGTTGCTGAGGATTTCCTAGAATCATTGGGTAAAGAACTGGGATTAGAGGTCCCACCAGAAAGGCCTCATGTTTCATCTAAACCTGAAAAACTTTCAGCTGCTGGTGCCAGTCTCCCATCCCAGGATGAAAGGATGACAACTGCTCTCACCAAAGTAAACGAGAATCAGTGCTCTATTGGCATGGTGCAAGTTGGCAATATTAATGAAGATGCTCCATTAGCCAGTGCTGAAACCCTTGGTATGAAATATGAGAAGCAGGAGAATAGAACCGAGAAAAACAGGTCTCGCCCTATGCATCTGCAAAGCCAGAACCATAGTCCAAGGTCTGATTCATCTAGTGAACGGCATAGGAGTTGGAAAAGGAGATCACATCGTCACATCCGGAATGGAACTCCAGAATCTGAGTCCTCTGGTGAACGCCATAGGAGCAGAAGAAGAAAGAAGTCTCATTCAAGACACAGAAAAGGCAGGAGTAGAAGCCCGGATAGTGATACTCCCAGTGATACCCAACATGAGAGAAAACGCAAGGAGAAAAGGCATCGCCGAACTTACACATCTGATACTGATTCTAGTGATCATGAACACACGGAAAGATATAAATCTAGTAGTAGGCGATCTTCTGACAAAGATAGAAGTAGAAAGCGTAATATACACCACAAGCACAGAAGAAAAGATCATGTAGATTATTCATGAATGGGAACTGCTGGAATATGTACAAATGATGGAAGATGCAGTGAAGAGCCATTGGTTTTGCAAACCATGGAAGTTTTTTATGAGAACATTGGGAGATATGGAAAAATTGCTCACAGGAAGTGTTCTGCGTATCTTGGCTTCAATGCCTTCATGACTTTTGCCCTAAGTTTTCTTTGTTGGATTGGTGGAATACCATTGCTATACCAGAAAGCGGTCTATGCTACCTGAATTGCGTGTTTCTAGCTCCCTTGGTTTCAAATGTGCATGTTCAATGGACTTTTGTCTCTGCAACATTTGGGCTGAGCCAACTCAACTGTTCTGAAACTTGCATATATAGGGAATGCTCACAATGGGCGGTAGTCTGGAACTGCAGTTTCATGGCAAGGAACTGCAATCATCTGGTTGCTTGTAAGTCTTTTAGGAAAAAGATGTAGTTGCAGTAGCCCTGTTTGCAAAACTTTGATCCTGGTAGCAAATGGTTTGATTACAAATCTATGGTGTGCCCAAAACCGCAAGTTGTATGATAGCTATTTTCTAGTTTACTTAATTCATATGATAGTGTAGTTCTGTTTTACAGAAGGCAATTAGGTTTTTGAGAATTGTGAAAGCATAGTGCAGTTGAGCGATTTGGGCCTGCCTGTTCCCAACAGGCTTTCCCTTATTGGCAGCAAGATGTTGCCATCAAGAGATATGGTAGTGTAGATTTGATGGTAATGCTTGGTAAGATGATCAGTTCCCTTCCCATTTTGTTGTGCTGTTCCTCGTCCTTGTTTAGTGTAGTTTGTCCCTTTATCCCAAAAGTAAAAGTATTTCTGTTATTCTCTCGAGTGAAACAATCCTAACTTCCCAAGTCTGACAAAGTTTACAGGGAAGAATGAAATTTATGATATTTAAATGAGCATCATCAGACCCATTATGAAACGTATTTTCATGGTTTAGTTATTTGATGTGGTAGATGATAAAGTACTCTTCTCTATAAACATAACTTAATGATAGCTTGACATAGGACAATCAGAAGTGCTCATATGTCGAGACACGATATGAATCAGCAATGTCGGGCATTTTGGGTCAGGATAAAAGAAGTGATGTAATGGTCTTTTGTCCTTGATTAGCAGTTGCGTCTCCATGTTAGATGTTACAACGCACCGCCTCAGAAGTATCGAATTGAGCACCAAAAACTGTCCACAGCAAGTCGAAGCGATGATATGCGCGGATGCCTTCCTTGTATGTATACCAATCGCGAACCTGTCGTTCCATCAAGCTTTATTGTTTATTATTACGTCTGTCTTCGCACTTTTCAGCTCAGCGATCACTATCAGATGACTACCCTGGTAATTTGATTTTCCTAGATTTACTAGATGTTCGGATGGGACCCGAATTTACAACTGTAAGGGCTGCTGTCTGCCGAGTGGTAATAAAACTAGAGAAGTTGATGAAGAGACGTTGACAACTACTGTAGAGCGTCTGTTGTCATCTTATAATACACACAGAATTGAGAATGGTGTGGGCTGGCCTGCTGATCCCTGGCTCCTCTGTCCTGTTCAAGTACCGTGGTGGGTCCGTGGCGTAAGAATTCGGAATGGTAGCCTGTCGACGACGACAGCAACTGCTTCCTCTAGACTCTTGGGAGAGGTCCAGTGTCAGGCATCACTTGAATTCAGCCTACAGTACAGCCCTAGTAAGTGACGTCAGGTGTACTATGTCTCAGGTCAAGTGTTTCGTTTTCCTGGTGTGGTGCCTGCCGCTGCCGGCCTGGTCCTGGCACTCTGGGGGACTGGGGAGGGAGGACGGACTGGAGTCTAATGTTCCAGTAGTGCTCTCTGCTCTGGACAGCCCGGTTCAAGGTTGTTCCTTGGTTCAGTGGCAACCTTGGAGCATTGGACTGGTAGGGCGAGGTGTCCACGTCCTTGCCGGCGACGGCGACGTTGCTGTCGTTGCCTGGTGCGGTGTCGCCGCTGCCACGGCGGAGAGGCAATGACATGGGGATGGGGTCTGTCCATTTCGGAAACCAGGCACGCAGGCAGGCAGGCCGAGTGCTCTGTTAGTCGTCACACAGAAAGGAGTTGAGTTGCAGGTGGGTAACCTACCGGTCACCAGCTCCTCCGAGCAAACGAAAAGATAGAAAAGGCAGGCTGGTGATCGGTGATCCACACCAGACACCAGGCGACCCGACTTTTTTTTTTAAGATCATCACATTGCCACGGACGGACCTGTCCGTGTCCGGTGTCGCCTCTCGATTTGTACACGAACTGGCGGACAAAAGTTTGCTGGCGTCGATGGGCTTTTGATTAATGCTCGGATGCTTGCCTGGCAACCGCAGGTGTCACGCATCTCCCACTTCCGTTTCAGAAATTTCTACAAGTTCCTTTGAGTATAGCTGCGTACCACCGCGATGAAAATTTTCTTCTCAAGAAGACAACAATCTAGTACAAAAGTGATGATTGCAATATAATTATGCAGCACGCAGCGTCTAAGACTAGCTTGAACAGGTACATCTACTATCCATGTGTTAGTACTATTAAATACCAAATTGCCTTATTTCCTTTGAGGGTCTATACAAATCTTAATTCTAATCTTTGATTCAAGCTAATTGGCAAAGAGTTAGTTGATAACGTATCTATCCGTAGGCCTCTCTTGATTTTCCACGTGACAGCCCTTATGTAGAATTGCACTAGGATATACGTATAACCGAAGGCACATTTATTCAGAATGGATTGGACAACAAACTCCTCAGGATTTTAGACTACCAGTTCACGGTTTGATTAGTTGGGTCATTGGCTAAAGTGGGTTTGTTCTAATAATATAAGTTGTGTTCCTAATCGAAACTGCATCAACAATTTGGTGGTGGAAATCTTTGGTGATGTTTGGTTTGGGGCGGGATAAGAACGAAGTGGGTCTAACTTGATGCATTCTGATGTTTGGTTGGGAGACATAATGAGACGGGATCATCCCTAAAGGGAATATTTCTTCAATATACGAGACAATCGGTAAATGAAGTCAGATGGGTGGGGACGATCTAGGTGCGAGCGTGCGAGGACGCTGGTCTTGAGGGCACCGGCCATCGGGTGCGAGTGCGCTATCCTCGGAGTGACATCTAGGGTTTCCCTCTCAGGGACGTTCATCCAGATTCCTCCAACCAAACACAAACCAAAAAAATTGGATTTGTCCCCATCAAAAAAATTTAAAACGGGACAATCTCATCCCAAAATTAAAGGGATGCGACCATCTTCCTGTCTTTATCGAGATCAAAGGTAACCTTTGTTTTTTAGCGATACACATAATGGGATGGGATGTGCTTGGAACAGAATAAACATGAAAAAACAGAAAAAAAAAGTAGAGGTCGAAAGAAAAAACAATAGAAATCGGAGCAGAACGTGCAGGTTCCAGAACGGAAAAACAAAAGAAATCGGAGTGGGCTCAATCATGTCGAAAGAAAAAAAACAATAGAAATCCTGTCTGTATAATTTATATATTAATTAAAGGTCGAAGTATTTGAGTTTTTAAAGAAAGGACGTCGCTTTAGCCAACCATGTCCAAGTTGATTGACTTTTGGGCTCAATCATTCGGCATATATACATGTCATCAGTCGCATGTGTATAGCTGCCACCGTGACCGTTAAAGGGAAAACATTGTTCCGAGTGATTTGCTGTGAGAGGAAAACACTGTTCCAACTAATTTGTTGTGAGAGAAAACACTGTTCCATCTGATTTGTTGTGAGAAAAAAACACTGTTCCGGCTAAAAAACAAGCTAGAAATTACGGATTATAAGACAATCGATCAACCATTATCGGTCATCGCACATTGGTTCCAATATCCAGAGTCATTGAGTCAAGGTGCACGCAGCCACGTACGCAACTGGTTCCATATTTTTCTTTGTCAACTAATGTGACACGCTTGCATGCAATTATTGGAAAATGCATATAGATGTCCACCTCGATAGCATATCAAATGGAAGATGAAATACGATGTCTTATTTATTTGTTAATTAGTACGTAGTACTACTCAGATCATCGGAGTGCATTTTTCGTCAAATTTGGAACATCCGAATTTTAAATTGCCACTAATTTAGTTTCATCGGAAAATAGTGGTAAAATAAGAGAATTGCTAAACATCACTCGGTCGTTTAGCCCCCTCTGCACTCGATTTTCTCTCCCTCATTCTTTTACCTCTTCGGCTTCTCCCTTTTTTTCCCCCAACTCCAATGGGCTTAGAAGGGACCGGCCGGGGGAGGCATGGCGGTGGGGACGGTGGCGGCGGTGGCTAGGCAGTTAGGGCCCTGGCGGCGGTGGAGGCGGCCGGACCAGGTCGGGGCAAGGGCGCTATGGCCAGAGCTCGCCGCAGAAGTCGAAGATCGGGGAGGGGAAAAGGAGGTTGTCGCGGCTGCGCTAGGGTTTCGCTGGAGCTCCACGGCCATGGCTCCGGCGAAACCCTAGCGCGGCCACGGCGGGGCGGTGGGCGCGGCGAGAAAGAAGATAAACAGTGCAAACGAAAATTGAGTCCCCCCCCCTAGCTTCTAAAATGACCCATTTTATGTAGTTTTTATGATACACATATGTAACAAGGAGAAAGAGACAACGGAGGGACTCCGGGCGATGGAAACGTGCGACCTAAACCATATTGTATAGTTGGTGGCAGTTGCTTTATTTGTTTGGTGATCATTAATATCACATACCTAGTGGCGCAAAATATATATATGCCACGAAGAAGATATGCAAAACCACTATGTTTTTAATATTTTCAAGGCGTATAGAGTCTGTAATCTACTTCTTTCTGACTAATAGAGATCAATGCAGTGACTTAGATATGTGCTATATAGAGAGAGAGGTGTGAATGGATTTAGAGAATCCAAAGTCCAATTAAACTCTAGTTGCTTTGAATGCACTCAAATATGGTCTATTCGGATTTGGATGTCTATTATCATTTGATCTAATAGAATTCAAAATCCATTAGAAATTAGCTTAAAAAGTCATGTGGCCAATGGATTTATTTGGACTTGAGAT